GCATGGATAGGATTTAACACAACCACTGGGGTTACATTATAAACTTTGTGAAGCTCCTGAAGCCTGTATTCCTGCTTTGTGGAGGTTAGAGAAAAAGGCTTCTCAAAGCAGTAGCCAGGTGTGGTGAGGCAGAAGGGTCTTGTTCCCAGGCCCGCCTTGACCGCACTGGTGAGCCACTGTCTCAAAAAAAGAAGTAAAGGGATGTCAGGGTGGTGCCACACACCTGTGGTCCTGATACTGGGGACGCATATAGAGTGCCACCAGTTTGAGGCCAGCTACATAGCAAAACCCTGTTTCAGAAATCAAGAGTTTACTCAGGGCATTTGAGCAGATGGCTCTGAGGCACTTGGCTTCCCTCCATGTTTTGCCAGGGATATAGTTTGTCCTGTGCTATAAAACTTTTTAAAAGTAGGGGGAAGATACGCAGAGGCATAAGCACAAGACCTGGACTTCAGTCCCTGGCCGTGCCTTCTCGCCCTGGAGATGGGCGCCCACCAGGCAGCCCCAGAACTGGGCGTGGCAGTTTAAGCCTGTAATCCCAGCACTCAGGAGGTTGAGATCTCCAAGAGATCTCTGTGAGATAAGACTAGCTTGGGGGCACCAAAAATGAACACAGGGCCAGCCCAACTGCATAGTGAGACCTTATCTCAAAAAAATATATAAATGGTAAGGGGGCCAGGCTAAGTGGCACGCTGGGCCTGTCCTGGGCTGTGGCTGGACCCCTGCTGACTCGGGGGCTGCCTTGTGCTTCCAGGTCAGCAGATCCGGAAGTTGATCAAAGATGGGCTGATCATCCGCAAGCCTGTGACTGTCCATTCTCGGGCACGATGCCGGAAGAACACGTTGGCTCGCCGAAAGGGCAGACACATGGGCATCGGTAAGCTCGAGTGGCTCTAGTTAGGAATGTGGGTGAGGCCTGTCTGGGGTGCAGTCATGCTACCGGCATTCTTACACTTTGAGGTTTTGGTGGTTATGTGAAAACCCTGAAGTGTCTTTCTAGTCAGGATAATTGAAGGTCACACTCTGCTTAGAGCTGCTTCTTCACTTTGTACTACTTGCTGCATGCATGAAGTAACGTCAAGGAGTGATTGGTGTGCTGGTGCTTCCTGGGAAATTGAGGTCACATGCAGTGTGGTGGTTCCTAACCTGGGCCCCAGGCTACTCGAGAAGCTGAGGCAGGAGCCCTGGGAATGCAGGTCAGCCTGGCAATCTTGGGGGGAGAAAAGGCTGGAGTGCAGCTTGGTGGTAGAGTGCTTACCTAGCATCCACGTGGCCCCGTGTTCCAGCCACACACACATTCTCACTCTCACAGGCTGAGTAAATGAAATATTTGGAGTCGTTGTAAAACAGGTCATCCACGTAACGATGGGATTGTGTAGTCAGGTGTGATGCAGCCTGTAATCCCAGAGCTTGGGAGCCTGAGGCAGGGGGGTCGCCCTGAGTTTGAGGCCACCTTGGGCTGCATAGTAAGACCCTGCCTTCAACAACAACAAAAAAGGGCCAAGAGCCATCATCTGGTGGTTTGACCTGTGTCATGGCTAATTTCCTAGTTCACTGTCCCCATAGGTAAGCGGAAGGGTACAGCCAACGCCCGAATGCCGGAGAAGGTGACCTGGATGCGCAGAATGCGGATCCTGCGCAGGCTGCTCCGGAGATACCGGGAATCTAAGAAGATCGACCGGCATATGTATCACAGCCTGTACCTGAAGGTGAAGGGGAATGTGTTCAAGAACAAGCGGATCCTCATGGAGCACATCCACAAGCTGAAAGCGGACAAGGCCCGCAAAAAGCTCCTGGCGTAAGTCTCGGGGTGGTCCCAACCTCACAGTGGGGCTCGGGGTTCTAGCACTGTCAGAAAGGAGCCCCGGTGGCTCCCACAACTGCTTCCTCAGAGCTGGCCGGGGTTGTAGGACCTCTGTCCTCCCACATCACATCCTATGCTCTTCCTTGCCAGTGACCAGGCCGAGGCTCGCAGATCGAAGACCAAGGAAGCGCGCAAGCGCCGTGAGGAGCGCCTGCAAGCCAAGAAGGAAGAGATCATCAAGACCCTGTCCAAGGAGGAAGAGACGAAGAAGTAGTGCTCTGCGTGTACAGAGAACGGACAGGTCCCAAATTAAAGAGCTCTTGGCCTTTCCTCTGGGGCCTGCGCAGCCTGCTCTGCTTTCTCCCTGTCCAGCTGTACTGCACCTCGGGTTTCCTTTCAAGGGTGTGGGGCCCAGCCTTTGTGGGGGGGGGTACTGGGGATTGAACTCGACCCTGCGCTTGCCAGGCAAGCACTTATTCTCTTGCGCTATCTCCCTGGCCCCCTTTTGTGTTTTGAGAAGTTTTGTTAAGTAGCCCAAGATGACTCAGACTTGAGAATGTCTTGCTTCGGTCTCCCACTGGTTATAGGTGGACACCACCCTCCCGGGCGTCTTTTTTTTTTTTTTTTTTTTTTTTTTTTAGTATCAGGACCTTGTGCTTGCTGCTGATCCATATCCCTGGCCTCCTGTGATTTACTGTGTAGTCCAGACTGGCTTTGAGTTCACAGTGATCCTCCTGCCTCAGCCTCCTGAGTGTTGGGATTGCAGGCACTCCAGTCTCTGCCTAAAACTCAACCTCTAAGCCTCAGCCAAAACTGTACTGCCACATCTGGTTTGCTGAGAGAACTTTGCCTCTGGGTTGCATAAGGTGTCAGTAGAAGTGAAGGTGCAAAGTTTTTAAGGCAGGACCTTACTGTGCAGCCCAGGCTTAGAGCCACTGTGTTGTTTCTTTGTGTCTGCTTAATGGGAAGTGGATTTGACTTTCCCACCTAATTGTGGGAATAATTGCCAGTCAGTTCTTCAGCCAAGAATCTGGGCAAGGGGGCCGGGGAGATGGCTCAGAGGAATAAGTGCTTGCCAAGGGCCTGAGTTCAATCCCCAGTTCTGAAAAAAAAAAAAAAAAAATCTGGGCGAGGTGGGAATAGGCTCTTGGCACTATTTTCAGCCTACAGACGGAAGTCTGTCCTTCACCACAGCTCTGTTGTGTAGGCTGAGTGCACATCATGCGGGTTTTGGAGCCTGAACTCAGGTAGCAGTGATGCTGGTCAGGCAGCCAGCTATAGGAGGGGTGCGGTTTGGGGACGTGACCAGCTTGGTTCTCGGCTCATCTAAAATGAGGACCCTCCTGGCAGTGCCCTCCCAGAGTGTACGAGGCAGAGCAGGGAGAGTAGCACCAAGGGGGACAGGAGGTGCAGTCTGGGCTACAAGCTGTGCTGGTCTCTGCCTACTGTGACCTCTTTGGTACAAGGCCGATGGCACCTAGAGCCTGCCTTCCCAGCCGGCCTTCCTGGCCAAGGACACGGCGCCGGAGCCGGTACAGCTGCTGCCCAGAAGGTGGCGCTGCTCCCTCGGGGGTGCAACTCCATGGCAAGCTGTGCATCCCTGGGCTTGGTTCCTTGGGTTTCTAGAAAGTGAGGGGAAGGGGCTGGTAAGCCAAGGAGCAACCTGCCTCCTGGGATTCCTGGCGCATTGTCACTTGGCGCTTCTACCACTGGGCCACATTCCCAGGCCCACCACTTCCTGAAGCTCTGCCCTGCACCTCTGCCACTTCCCAGGGAATCGAAGTAGAAGCACCTTAGAGTCACCAAGCTCCTCGAGGGCCTGGAAACATCTGGCTGTACCAGAGATGGTCAAAAACAAGAAAAAAAGCCTTTGATGTTCCTAAACTGAGTGTAGTAAAAAGGGTGTGGCAGAGCACGTCTGTGAGCCCAGCACTCAGCCACCAGGACAGGAAGAACTCAAGTTTGAACTCAGCCTGGGCAATATAGCAAGGAGGACTGTCTCGGAATTGAAGTTTAAAAGCGCTGCGGGCCCTGCATGCTGGCACACCTGTAATCCCAGCACTCGGGAGACTGAGGCAGGAGGTTCACTGCTAGTGTGAGGCTGCCCTGGGTTACCTAGTCAAGGCCAGGCTAGCTACACTGACCTGCATTACATATGTGAGGTGCGCTCCCAATACTATGTGCTGGGAAAGGTCTGGGTCAGTCCGCCGTTGAACTGAGGCTCTTGCACTTGCCAGACAAGTGCTTATTCTACTGAGCCACATCCCCGGCCCCACCTGGCCTCCTTTGAGGCAGCTGGTATCTACCCATCCTTTAGGCTGCTCTGGCTCATGTCTCCAGGTGACCTTTGCCCCTGTGGTGCATGAGGAGTAGGAGGGGGCTACTGCAGTGGGGCATGGCCCTCAGGGTCCTAGCTGTCCTCTGCCCCAGCTTGGTGGTTGCTGATGCAGACTGTGAGTGGGTGCAGAGGGCAGGGCACCAGCTGTCCCCAGCCCTGAGGCTGCAAGCAGGCTGCTGGTGGCTCAGCCACCCGGAAAAGCTGCTGTGCTCGGCAGTGCGGCAAAGAGGCCGAGCGAAGGGGTGCGGCAGCTGCTGGGCTGGCAGCCACACTGAGGTGCAGAATGAGTTACTGAGGCGTCCAAGAAGGGGCTCCCATCCCTAGGGCACCACCTCAGCCCGCCAGGTGTCTAGTTTTCACTTTGGGACTCTGGGCAGCAAGGAAGTAGAGCTAAGCTGGGAGAAAAGATATGGTTCCTTCTATTTTCAGTACTGGGGATGAAAGACTTGTTAGTCTCCCTGACTTGTCCAGTGTGGGTTTTTTTTTAAATTATTTATTTTGTGTGTGTGTGGCCAGCTCAGCCCACCTGGGGGTGGGGCTGGCTGGCATGTGGTGCTGGGGGATTGAACCGCGGTCCCTGTGCTTTGCTAAGCTTGTTCTAAGTGGGTGCTTTAGACCACTGAGCCATCTCACCAGCCCCAGTCTGGGTTTTAACTTGAGCTTCCCAGAGTGATGAGCTGACAAGCGTGGACCACCCTTCCTGGCTAGAAAAAGCATCATTGGGGCCCGGGAGATTGCTCGGTGGAATAAGCACTTGCCTGGCAAGCGCAAGGGCCCGAGTTCAATCCCTGGTTCCACACACACACACAAAAAACATTATTTCAGGGACTGCCTTGCTCACTGATTTCTTTGGGAGACTTGGCGCTGCTCATTAGCTTGCTCTGGACCTGTTTCCCCATATGAACAGAGCAGAATTGGGCTGCAGTCTGCAAGACCTCAGGTTCCCTACCATCTGTGCCTTAGGGTCCTCATCTAGTTGAAGACCAACCGCTGTCCTGCTAACAGGCAAGATGTCCTACTGGGGAGGGCTGGGACCACCAGGGTGAAAGACGCTGGGCTCTAGCACTCGAGGGCCAGGCCCCAAAGCGCACCTATAAATATCTGGGGCTCAGGGGCACGCACCTCTGTGCTCTGCTGGCAGGCGCGGGTGGGTTGTGGTCCGGTAGCTAGGGGAGGGCATGCTGAGTCATCAGCCCTGAATCTGAGCATGTCCCTGCAGGCAGCAGTCTCCAGGGGGCTGCGGAAGCTAGGCCGATCTGCGTGGGGGCCAAGCCCTCCGCGCCAAGGCAAATGGGCCTTACAGGACACTTCTGGGTGGGCAAGTGTGGTCCTGAGGGTCGGAGATGTGTGCTTACCCCCTGTGGCATTGGAGAGGGACCACAGCCCTCCAGCGTCCCCTTCCCTGGGGCCCTCTCCACCCTTTCCCCCTCCCCTCCTTGCCCTGCCAGTTGGGTGCCAGCCCCTGCCCCGCGTCGTACATGTCAGCTGTGACCCAAATCCTGTCATCCCACCCCCTCGCGCGTGCTGCTCCAGCCACGACTGTAGCCATGCTCCACTCTTCAAAGCAGACAGCCGGGACAAAATACATTTAATTAGGGCCTGGGGCTCCGCAGGGCCAGACAGACCCGCCATGCAGCCTGGTGTACAGTGGGCATCGGCCGCCCCGGGGGTATCGCTGGGGGGCCTCATGGCAGCAAACAGGGCAGTGTGGCTTGAGCCCCCTCTGAGGAGGAGAAGGGGAGAACCTGTGTGCCTCTCACCATGGGGGTTGTGACTGCCCGGGAGGGGGGCATTGGCTGGCATGACCAAGGGCACAACAGGAGGCTCCGAGCTTGGGGAAGGAAAGCTGGCACCAGAATAAAGCAGCCTGCAAGACGGAGGTCTCGTGGGATGGCCCTCCGGTCCTGCTCCCCTCATTTCCTGGGACTCCAGAATTCTTCATCCTTGCCTGTCTCCTCCCCCTCTTCCTCTGATGTGTCCAGGACAAAGGGGCAGACAGCTACAAAGGGACACACAGCCCCCTGTCCTGAAGAACCGGAGAAGGGTGAAGGAGGGGTGTCCCGCTGTTGTCAGGGCAACCTGAAGGTGACATGGGGTGGTTTGGACCAAGTGTGGGCCGGGACTGGTTCTCAGGCCACTTTCCGAGCCCAGATTGCTCTGTGGTGATCATCTATTGAGGGGACAGTCTCAACTTGTCACATCTGTGGAGACCTCTGCCCTCCCCCCTCTGTAGGACCAGGTTTCAAGTAGTGGGAGAGATTCCTGCAGAACTTGCCTGAGAAGTGAAGAGGTGACAGAGACGTGGAGACTAAGAGGGGGCCCAGGGGCCCTGCCATGGCACTGGATCCCCCCTCGGGGGCAAAGGGCTGAGGGGTGCAGAAAGCCCCCATAGTGCCACTTACAAAGGGGCCGGTGTAAACAGACCCAAGCAAAGGCTCTGAAGGCGTGGGTTCAGGCATGCAGAGGCTGCACGGGCAGGTGGGGAGTCTGGGTATCCTAGGGGCCTGTCCAACACAGGACTCAGTGCAGTGGCCAGATTTGGGGTACCCAGGCACTGTGGGGGACCTACCTACAGCTTCCAACTTCCAGTCCCAGGGGATCAGCCCAGCAGGGTGCCTCACCCAAGAAATAAAACCTCCCAAGGGTTGAGGGTCCCGGGAGAGGGGGAGAGGGGCAGAAGAAGCAGGGTGTCAGGATGCCCGCACCCCTTCCCATCAGATGCCAGTCAGGGCACAGGCAGCTCCACTCGCCCTGAGCCCTCAGATCTCATTCAGGGCGTCAGCCGGCACTAGGCCCCGCTTCCTGCCGCTGCTGACACGGATGAAGCCATCTGCATCTCCGCTTCTGCCCACGCCAACGCAGATCTGCACGAGATGGAGGTGGTACTGAGCCCTGACCCAGAGGCCTGCTGACGCCCCAGGTCCCGGGACGGGGTCTAGCACCTGTCCCATCCCCATCTCTTATTTTTTGGTTTTTTTGAGACAGGGTTTAGCTGTGTAGCCCAGGCTGGCCTCCTGGCACTCCTGCCTCAGCCTCCAGTGTGCTGGGATTACAGGCGTGTACCACCCGTCTGGCTCCCTTCCCAGTCCTCAGAGGAATAAAGGGGAAAGGACTTCCAGGTAACAGCAAGCCAGCCCCAGAGTCCACGTTCACATGTGCTTCTCTGGTGCTGCCGCGGTCATTCGCAGGGCTGGGCTCACCTGGTTTTCCTTGAGGCTCAGGTAACCCTGCTCTTTACTTCCCGAGAAGGACCGGCAGCAGCGCCACACGTTCTCGCCTGGCCTTACCCGCTGCACAAAATTGGCCGGGAAAAAGCCCACGCGGTCGCCGATCTTGCCCTGGGGGAGAGGCCACTGTTAGCCCAAGCCCCTGCTGCTTCAGGACCGACTTCTGCTTAGCTCTGGACCTGGGCTCCCAGCCAGCTGACCATGGGCTTCTTTGGGGCTGGGGAGGCTGGGAGGGAGGAGAGGGACACAACCAGCACAGGGCAAGTCAGAGCACAGTGAGGGCAGAGCTAGGGAGATCTGAGGGGCTTGGAGAGAAGTGGGCACAGCCATCGGGTCCCGAGTCCCCCACACCACCCCCCAAGGCACCTTCCACCAGTCTTCGTTGGAGTCATCCACCAGCAAGATTCGATCTCCAGGCCTGCAGAAAGAGAGCCATGCAGGCGCGGGCGTGCCCCAGAGGGGCCAGCCTGCAGTCATTGTGGCCTTCAGAGCCCACCCAACTCCAGTCCTGCAGGGCCTGAGCCCCCTCCCTCCCTCCAGGGAGCCCCTCCCCCACGTGCCCCGGTTGGGGGTGCAGAGCTGGGAAACCCGCAGCTGCTGGAACACAGAAAGGACTCACTGCAGGGCCAGGTCGTTGCTCTCCTGGGGCAGGAACTTGTAGAGGGCTACGTAGGAGTACATGGGCCCCACCTCCTTCCGCAGGGTCGCCTTGGGGGGCTGGGGAGAAGCGCTGGGTGGGCGCTGAGGGTACAAGCCTTTCGCTGCCCCACCGTGGCCTACTCGGAGAGCCTGCCTGGGGACCTGAGGTGCCAGACCCTCCCTGGGGAAGCAAGCACAGGTGACAGAAGGTCCCCTGGGGCTCTCACCCTGACACTGCCAGTCCCCCAAGCATTCAGGACAAATCTGGGAGCAGTGGCTCCGCCCCTCACACACGCCAGAACAGTGGCCTGCTGAGCCAGGGACACCGCCCCGCCGGGGCCTCTTACCTGCTGCCCAGGGCTCCGCTCCTCTGCTCCTGACTCTTCGCTCTCAGCCAGGGATGTGAACACTGGGGTCACAGGGCGGGGCCAGATGTGAGTGTACCCCCCATTCCCTCCCCTCTCCCCCTCCCCCCTCCCGCATCCCGCGCCTTCCCTTGCTCACCACCGTCGCTGGGCCCCTCCTCAGAGCTGCGGATGCTGCCCTCCCCGTCCTCAGCCAGCTCGTCGCGCTCACTCTGGGCACAGGGGAGGAGGCCAGCTCAGTCCCAGCACTATGGCACCGCAGCCCCTCCCCTCGGTCTCTCCCCTCTCCTCTCTCCCCTTCAGTACCAGGCTCCGCGTGGGGGACTCAGATGTACTGCTGAAGCTGGAGCGGTTCATCAGGGCCAGGGACGTGCCATAGCGCAGGGTCTCGTATACCGGGTCCACCTTCCCACCGGGCCCTGCTGGGCAGGCCAGAATCTGCAGCCTGGCCCCGGCTCACCCAACTCCTGGCCGCGCTGTCATCCCCTCCCTGGCTGCCCCAATCCTCCTCCTCCCTGTGGCCTCTATGTATCCTCCCAGGGTGCCCAGGCGGAGACCCGGATGCCTTGCTGTCCCGTTGCCCGGAGCCACTGCAGCCCTTCACTCAACCTGCCAGGTCTTGGAGAACACACACAGATTGCTCCTCTACTGCTGCGGGTGTGGTCCAAGCTCCCAAGCTCTGGGCAACCTCGTGGCCTCCCAACCCCGCTCCTCAGGCCCTCAATCGAGCCCATCCAACCTATGAGGCAGCCGCAATGCTGTCATCAAAACCAAGATTTCTCTTAGAATTAGACTGTTAGCCAGGTTTGGGGTGGATAACCCCAGCACTCTGGGAGGCTGAGGAAGGAGGATCTTTTTTCTTTTTTTGCAGAACCGGGGATTGAACTCAGGCCCTTGCCCTTGCCAGGGAAGCGCTTATTCCACTGAGCCATCTCCCCGGCCCCAGGAGGATCCTTAAATTTGAGCCCAGCCTGGACAATTCAGTGAAGCTGTCTCAAAATAAAAACCTATGGAACCTCTGGGTTCAAGCTCCAGGACTTCAATCGATCAGTCAAGAGCAGTCAATGTGGGCTGGTGAGATGGCTCAGTGGTCTAAAGCGCCTACTTAGAACAAGCTAAGCTAAGCAAAGCACAGGGACCGCGGTTCAATCCCCAGCACCACATGCCAGCCAGCCCCGCCCCCTGGTGGGCTGAGCTGGCCACGCACACACACACACACACACACACACACACACATATTAAAAAAAAAAAAAAAAAAAAAGAGCAGGAAACAGCCCCGTCTTGCTTCCGGGACACTCACCTGTGGGTAGGGACTCTCTGCTCAGGGTACAGGCTGGTGGTGGCTCGTGCACCAGGAGCGGGGAGCTGAAGTTGCGGCGGAAGGAGGCAGACTGTCAGGGGAGCAGAGGCGGAGGTCAGGGCTGCGGGGCGCCCAGGAGGCCCGGCTGTAGGGCCCAGGAAACCCCGCTCACCGTCTTGCCCGGGCATTGCTGGTGGGAGGTCTCCTCTGAGCACCAGAGGTGGACACTGGCCTTGCAGCTCCTACAGCGCAGGCCCTGCTTGGAGTTTCCTGGAAGATTTGGGGTTCAGCCCGAGGCTTGGTCAAGAGCAAGCACAACCCTGGGCACAGCAGGCAGGCAAGGGCACAGGAAGTGCAGGACTGGGCGTCCTCCGCCTATACAGGCAGGCTCAGTGGCTTGGAAGCCCAGCGAGGCTCAAAGAGCACAGGCGCCAATATGCTGCACGCAGCCACCTGGCGACACTCTTCTTCGTCGGTGTCCCACCGAGGTGCTGCTCACGCCCCTGACCGTGCTGCCCCTGCCTTCCCTGCTTTTTACAGCACGGGGTGAACCCAGGGCCTCACACGGGCTGGGCAGCACCCTGGAGAAGGGACACAGCCAGCGCCTGGATGGTGCCCCGTCACCCACCAGCCTCCCCCTGGGGCCCAGAGCCTACCCACGATGAGCTGGTGGCACAGCTGGCATGGGCTGGCGCGCTTGAAGACGTACTCCTGGAAGCCGTGCAGCCTGGAAGGCTTAAGCGGTGCCAGGGGGCGCAGCGCTGGACAGGGGGAGGGTGCTGGAGAGGACGTGGGCGGCGGGGAGGGCGGGGGCAGCGGGGTCGGGGGCGTGAGCAGCACCTCGGTGGGACGCTTGAGCTCGGAGCTGGAGCGCAGGAAGAAGTTCTCCATGCTCTTGCTCCTTAGGATGGTCTTGAGGGACAGCGAGCGCTTGAACCGCTGCAGCTGGGGAGGGGGGTGCGGTGTGGGGACCAGAGCATGGACAGCCGGGGTGGTGCATGCCTGTGACCCGTGCTCAGGAGGCTGAGACAGGAGGGTGGCTCCCAGTGTGGGTCTGAATCTTTCTGTGACCCTGTGGACCCGGCCTTGCCACCCGTGCCTCCCTGAGCAGCCACCTTGCAGGTGCTGGGACTTTGTGCTTCCTGGGAGCCCTGCCACACCTGTCCTCTGTCATCTCATGAACACCTCTGCAGCCTCCCAGACCTTCCCACAGCGCCCTGCTGCGGTGGACCTCACCCTCCACTGGCGCCCTTGTGCCAGTCCTGACCTGCCAGCCCACCCCAGCCTCACCCCAGCTTACTGCTGTCACTGCCCCTCACTCCCTCAGGAAATGATGACTTTGGAGACAGGATCTTGCTAAGTTGCCCCAGGTGGCTTTGAGTTTGAGTGGCAGGGATTAAGGACCAACACTGTCCCCCAGGCCCCCACCGGGGGTGTCGCCCCCACAGGCATTGGTGGGCTGGCCACAGCAGGTGAGGGGCCAGAACCCTCTCCCCAGTGCTCACTCTAGCATACTTGGGTCACCCAGAGCCTTGAGGGCGCCTCCACCTGCCCATTCCTTCCCGCCAGTGCACAAAGGCGCAGACCTGCCTCTGGGCAGTGCGACTTGGCCAGGCCTCCTGGCTGGGGCTCCAGGAGGCCTGTGTGCCATGGCCGCCCGCCTAGTCATGGTGCCAAGGCGATGGGGTGATGGCCTCCAGCTCGTGCAGGCATCATGATGGACGGGGAACAGGCATGGCTGGGCGCAGGCAGCCACAGTGTCTGCTGGGAGGCCAGGGCCTCAGGTCCTGCACAGGGGCTGCCCTAGCCTGGCACTTGAATGTGGTTTGTGTCAGGCAGGGCTTACGGGCTCTCGGAGGCCCCATGAGGGTGGATGTTCCCTCACTGTTCTGTCCAGGGACCCTGGGCATAGACCAGCACATACAGAAGGCAAAACTCAGCAGATGAGCTGGATGGCAAGAGTGAACCTACCAACTGAAGGCAAAATTCGCTGCCCTGAACCTCAGTCTACCTATTTTTGTTTCTCTCTTGCACCCTTTTTTTGCTGTCCCAGGGATTAAACTCAGGATCACCCCTGAATACCACTCATGGCATGCAGTTCAGGCTGGCCTTGAACTCACTATATAGTCAGGTTGGCCTCAAAATTGCAGTGATCCTCCTGCCTCAGCCTTTCTAATGCCGGGGATGACAGGAATGCACCACCGCACACCCAGCTTTGAGCTCGCATTTCTTTCTTTAATTTTTGGTACCAGGAATTGAGTTCAGGTGCTTGTGCTTGCCACGCACAATGGCTGTACCCTGAGCTATATCCCCGGCCTGCTGAGCTAGTGTCTCATCTCCAGCATCCAGTTAGTTCTGGCACCACCCTCCGAGGAGGTAACTGCAGAACTGGGGATTGAACTCAGGCCCCTGCGCTCTCTCCTGCCTTTCAGGTGAGCATCTGAAGCTCTGGGGGTTAAAATCCTCAGCAGCTAAGGAGCAGAGATGGGCTCTGATCGAGGCTGCTAAAGCCAGAATGTCCAGGAGCAACTGTGGACCCACCCTGCTCTCAGCCGTGCCAAGGCTCATCCACTGGGTCAGACAAGGGATTCAGGACTGTCCTGAGGGACTGGCCAGCTAGAATGCCCCCCCCTGCTGTGCCCGCTCTGCCTGGGGCTCAGTTCTTGCTTTGGGAAGCCTGCAAGGGCTTGGGACCACACCATCTTTGGGCAGCCGGTTTCCAGAAGTGCTTCCCTACGTACAGAGAAACCTGCCTCACTGTGACTTTTGCCCCGACCCCTGTTTCCCCTTCCAAGCTAGCAGTGCCACAGGGACCCTCACAGGACAAGATCCCAAACCTCCCCACGCTGCAGCCTGCCCTGCTTCCTGGTACTCCTCTCCCTGGTCTCGGTGTCAACAGCCATTGCTGCAGGGTACCAGGAGCCTCTGGAACATGATGTTCCCCAGCAACAGGGCAGCTCCTCTGTGCCAGCCAAGTTCCTGGCTCAACTGAGGGCCCCAGGTCCCTGGAGGGTGAAGTGGGAAGGGACAATGTGCCACCTGGGGTAACTGGCCGATGCCAAGGGATATGGCCAGAGGGCAGAATGGGGCATCTCTGCCAAATGGCTTGTTGCCTGGCTACTCCAGGGATATCTACATCTGGCTTGGCCACTTGGACCTAACTTCACCACTGCTGGCCAGCTCTGCCCCTCCTGGGACTCCACACCTCTGCTCTGCGCCCACCAGCCATCGTGAGGGGCCATGCCTTAGCACAGAGAGAAGTTGCTGCATTGTGTTTCCTCCTGAGGCTCCCCAGCTTGTCCCCAGATCTGTTCTCCTGGGAAGCCCTCCCCATTTGCCCCCTCCCCATGGCTCCTGGGCGGCCCCTTCTTTCTTCGATGTCCCACAGCAGCTCCCAAAAGGGCACCAGGCATCTGGCAATAAGTGGCAGCAGACACAGTGCAAGCTGACTCAGACAGCAGGGGAGGCCTGGCAGGGCCTCCCCAGGGGTGGTCCAAGGGGGTGCGGTGCAGCCAACCCCAGTGTGCTAGGAGGAGTGAGAGGAGCAAGACCCCTGGGAGGACTGGTGAGTGGGTAGCTACAGAACCGGGCCCCAGGCTTTGGGGTAGCAGGAGGCTGGACCTGGGCTGTCAAGCAATGCCCAAGGGGGCACCAAGTGGATGCAGAGCTCTGGAATGTTGGCTTCCCTGCCTGACAGTGACCCCCATTAGACCTGTCTCCAACCCTGAACTGGGTGGGCAGCACCCCCTCACTTCCCACCCGTAGACTCTGAAGGCCCAAGCTCCTTTGAGCCAGGAGGTGGTGACATTGGAGGGTCCTTGGGCTGGGAAGAGGCAGGTAAGCGCTTCCAGGCCTGACCTCCCCTCCCACACAGGCTGAGCCAGCAGTCCTCTGAGTGCTGAGGTGGCACTGCCCAGAACTCCTGCTTGTGCCGCCTGGAGCAGCTCCTGGGGAAGAAAGAGGGTGCCACAGCAGATAGGCCTCAGTGCAGGAGCCTGGGGGGCCCCAAGGCCCCAGCAAGCAGGGGTGGCTGAGAAGACTGGGGGCACCCCAGGGTGTGGCTCTGACCTGGGACTGCCTGTCAGAGCTGTCACAAATACCCCAGCATCTCATCCCCTTCCCCAGAGAGGATGGAGGAAAGGCTGGGCGTCTCAGCCTGGTGGATGGAGGACAGAGGTCACATGGGCACGGATTCTGGCCAGGTCCCCCGTCAGACCCCACCAGAGCCCCTTCACCTCCCTCCCCTCACTCCGTGTCCTTGACCTTGAATTAACCTCTTATGGGGAGGGTGGTAGGGATGGATTCGGGAAGGTGGAGCCCAAACCCTCCCCCACCCCCACCCACCCCTGCCTAGTTGTCCTCAGGGCTCCTTCTCTTTAGGTAACAGTGAAGAAGGTCTTGGCCAGAAGTCAGGGGACAGACAGGGGATACAGCCCCTTCTTTCTTGGGTGGCTTTGGCAGAACTTGTTTTTAAAGTGCCCAGAACTCTAGAGGAATGTGTTTAGACGAGCTAGGCCTCCCCCAACCCCTTCAAGCCCGAGTCTGGACCCTGCCTGCCTTGCTGGGGAATAATTTATTCATTGTGACTCCCGCAGGATCAACCATCATACATAATTAGGGTTAATTATGACATTCATTAATTACGACTTCTCCTTTTTCGCTGCTCCACCCCCGTTCCCCGGTGGGGGTGGGGCCGCCCCTGACTGCTCCAGAGACGCAGAGAACACTCGGGGGGCCCCCGCCGGACCGAAGACCCGCGCTGCCGCAGCTCCGGGCAGGCGCGGACGACGAAGCTGTGCACTCCGACTCGGAGCCTCCCCAGGCTGGGGGTTTGGGAGTGCGAGACAGCTATAGGTTCCGGAGACCCAGGCACCCACAGATGAACGCACACGCTGACACCCGGATGAGCCAGACAGGTGCAGCGACATTGAGCCAAGCGCCCCGCACGCACACGCACCGTCCACACCAGCGGCGCGCGTTCCCCGCTGGTGACAGCCTCGCTGGCGTGGCGCGGCGCGGCCGAGCAGCCGGGGTCCCCGAGTCCCCTCGTCACTCACCCCCCCCCACTCACCCCCCCCACCCCGGATGGCTGCGCAGCTCTGGGGCTTCCTTGCGCCCCGCCAGCCCCCCGTGACTCCCAAGGATCCCTCGTGGCTAAGGTCTCCGGGGGATCCGGACCTCGCGCCCCCTCGTTACCTTAGTTTCCTGGGTCACCGACCCAGTCCCCGCGGAGCTGCGGGCGGCCGCGTCCTCGGGTTCATTCTCCTTCTCGCTCATCTCGGTCATGGTCGGGGACAGGACCGGCCCCGACGGCAGGCGACTCACCGGCCCCGCCGTCCCCTAGGTGATCGCGCCCCGAGCCCCTCAGGAGGACCTCGCCCGGACACAGCAGCCCCCGCCCCGGGGCTCGGGCGGGAAAAGTTGCTGGGACCCCAGGCGCGGGGACCGACAGTCTGCAGAGAATACGACCGGTGCGGGCAGGGGACGTGGGTGCGAGCAAACGGGCGGCAGCCGAGCTGTCCGAGCCCGGCCCGCCGCTCCCTCTGCGCCCGCCCATCGCGCCCCTCCCGGCCCGGCCGGCGCCCGCGGCCCCTCCGCCCAGTCCCCGCCGCCCAACTTTGATTTAGGAGGTCGCGTGTCCCCGCCCCTCCGTTGCCATGCAAATCACCTTCCCTGCTATTGGCTATTGCAGTGGCCAGGAGGGAAGGGGGCGGGGTTTTAGGGGGCTCGACTGGAGCGGGCGGGGCTTGAGAGGCGCAGGCGAGAAGAGTGTTTACGCTGAAAACCCGGGGATGCTTTTAAGTGGACTGGGTCACCGTCGTGGAGTCTGGGTTGGGGCTGCAGGAAATGCGAGGTTGGATCTACAGCAGCAGAGCCGAGAGAAAGACCGAAGTTAGGACTTCCTCATAGTGGAGACCGGGAGATACTGCACCTTGACAAGGAAGGTGGGGACCGGTGCTCGCCATCGACTGGATGCCTCCCTGCCTCCGCTCTCTCCAAGTACACACACGCTGGCTGGCTGAGTAGGGGAGACTACTCGAGGGACCCCCAAGCCGGGCTAGAGCGGCCTTCCTCAAGGATTGGAAGCAGCACTGTAATCTGGGCTTGGTGTTGGGGCCTCAGCAGAAGAGGGGGCCCGTTTTGATGCTTAAAGTCCCCAACTTCTCCAGGACACACACACACACACACACACACACACACACACACACACGGTCACAGCTACAAGAGGAGTTTGGCAGGGTCGGGGACTCCACAGCATCCCTGCCTCCCCACCTGAAGCTGCTGAGCTTCTGCCTCCGAGGCCTGGTGGCTCCCCGGTGCCCTTCCCCCAAGCCCCCCACACCCCTAGACCTATTTCCAGCTCAGCTTCAGCGCTTGGCCTGCCCAAGGAAAGGGACCTCCGAGACACAGTCTGGTGGTGACAGACCCCTTCTTTGGGTGTGAATGCAGAGATTTCTGCTTGAAATCTTCCTCTCCCTGCTGTGGATGAGATGGGGGCCTCCATAGGGGTCCTGCCTTTCCAGGGGCCAGCCACATCCAGGACCTCTGGACTGCCCTGAGTGAGCTCAGCCTGGAAGCCCTGCTCGGGTTACTGTGTCCAGAAACAGATTTATTTACCAGCAGTGCAAGAAGTAGGGCATGGGGGCCTGCCCATTAGCTCAGGTGTTTTAAGTGCCTGCTTAAACTAAGCAGTCAGGCTCAGGATGCTGTGGTTCATGCCCAGACACTCAGGCCAAACCAGACCTGCCCTGGAGGCATGATGAGGCAGACAAAAAAAGAAGAAGAAGAAGAAGAAGAAGAAGAAGAAGAAGAAG